TATGTACAGGTGCTTTCCAACTTATCTCAGATTACCACCTGTGTTTGCAAACGGCTCAAAGTACCCCCCAACGTTTAAAAAACCGTCTCACGTTACCCTTTCAGTAAGTTTTTTTGAAGTTCCGTTACGAACGTTACTGTTTATCCCCCAAAATTCCAGAACAGCAGCCCATCCCCTTTGTTACTGTTCATCCCTTATTTACCCTCCAAAACTCAGAAATTTCTCAAAACCAACACAACTAGCAGCAAGAACAGCTCGAGAGGTTGAAAAACCATACCTGGATCGAAGCAAATGGTGCACGGAATCGCCCGAACGAGCGATGGAGATTTTGGGTAAAAATTGGTCAATTTCTTGCTCTTTTCGGCGATCTAGACGGCGGTTGATAGCGGATGAGATGTGAGGGTGGTAGAGGACAACGTGCTGGTTCTTTTGATACCCATGTCGTCGCTTGGGGTGGCCGAAGGAGGAGATGGCAGCCCAAAAACTGGTCGGATGAACAGTAACAAAGGGGATGGGTTGCTGTTCTGGAATTTTGGGGGGATATAAACAGTAACATTCGTAATGGAACTTCAAAAAAACTGACAAAAAGGGTAACGTGAGATGATTTTTTAAACGTTGGGGGGTACTTTGAGCCGTTTGCAAACACAGGTGGTAATCTGAGATAATTTGGAAAGCACATGGGGCATGTACATAATTAAGCCATAATTAATGTAGTGCCCTAGGAATCTCATGTGAGCAAGTTGATATCACAATGATCAAGATATAAATTGTAGCTGACACCCTCTGTTATTCATTTTAATAAATAGTTTTTATAATTGTTTGACCAATCAATGTACCCCTAAAATATTTATATAAAAAAAGAAATTGGAAGAAGAAGAAGAAGAAATCAAATATATATATATAATAGAATATCATTATGCTACAAAAGAAAAGGAAACAGAAATATAGAAATTAATAATTAAATGTAGATTCAGAAAAAAAAAAAGAACAAACATTGTGACATAGAGAGTGAGAGATTGTATGATACGTACGTGTACTAATTGGAGACTGCCGACAGAAAAAATAGAATAGGAGCGCGGCTATACTTGGTTTTTTGAATTTTTTTATAAAAATAGGGCTATACTTATTTAGCACCTGTATATTTATAAATAGTATCGCTGTGCGGCTACACTCGGGTTTTTTCTAAGTTTTTTTTTTCAAAAATAGTATAGCCGCCCGGCTATACTAATTTTGACATGTGGGCACGTGGGCCAGGCGGGTATTTTTAATATATTTAGACATAGAATAGCCGCTCGGCTATACTCGGTTTCTTTGAATTTATAAGGCTATACTTATTTTGACACGTAGACACCTAAAGGCAAAGCGGCTCTCTCTCTCTCTCTCTCTCTCTCTCTCTCTCTCTCTCTATATATATATAAATAGTATAGCCGTGCGGCGATACGCGGTTTTTTCTGAGTTGTTTTTAAAAAATAGTATAGCCGCGCCATTTTTTTTCTAATTTTTTTTTAAAAAAAAATTTACAGCCGTGGGGCCTGTTCGGGATTTTGGTATATTCTATTCCATCAATGCAATGAGGAGGAGGAGAAGCTAGTAGATCTCCATGGTCCATCCCTTCTTGTCCTCCAGTCGACCTGTTTGGATTCTGGTGAGTTTCATATAGTTTCTGAGATAATGCTCTTTTTCCTGTTTTGTATTCAACCCTGCAATGGCTTGACATCCCAAAATTAATAACCATACAAATTATAAATATTAGAAGCGAGGAAAAAAGCCAATAATTTTTTTTTTAATGCACTGCACCTTTTGACTTAATAAGTTACAGCACCAATGACAACCACGGCAGTTCCTGTGCAGAAAGCTTCATCAGCTTCAAGCAAATCCTCCACTGGGATTACGCGTTCCTCTACCAGTTCGAAAAAAAACAAAAAAAAACATACATGTTCTAAAAGTCTGCTATGAAATTTTGGTTTAAGGCTTGTCATGACTGAAGAGTACTTAAAATAACCTGGTAACCAAAATCAAGGGCAATGTCGATGATGCTTTTACGAGTAATTCCAGGAAGAACAGTTCCATATATTGCTGGAGTTGAAGTAACATTGCCCTACAACAAATAAACAGTTCCCTGTAAACTTTGCATTTAAGACACGGTTGATTATGTTAACCTGAAAAGCAAATAAAGAAAGTTCCGATCTCTGATCTCTGCAGATGCTGATATAGTCTGTAGTTTGCACAACTGTGCATTGTAATTTAACTAGGCAAGATTAGAACCCAATTATTCCTTCTCTTGCTCTTTACCACATGAACTAATTAACACCTCTTTCATGCTTGATCTGTTCGTAATATGATATCAACGCGTGCACATGCGGCACGTGTGGAGATAGATATACTAGCTTGATCTATTCATTTATAAACTGACTGGTAATACCTTGACAATGAAATATTACATGCTGTAATCTCCTCAATTTTTTTTCCAGTTACAGAATCCAGGCGTAAGACATCAGAGAACCCTTTGGCCCTGTCTTTTGTGCTAGGTAAACCTACAAACAAAACCAAAAAGTTCACAACTCCACACAATCAACTTCTACAGTAACCAATTCAAATTGATCAATTTTGATATAATTGCAACTGCAGCCTCATTTTGTGTTAAATATCCTCAGCAAGCTTCAGGGGAACACACAGTAGTAAGAAGAAGCAACAAATTTGTGTGATTTGTTATCAGAAAAACTGAAAGATTTTTTTAGTTTTACTTACTGGTGATAGACTTGACACCTCCAGTTCCACCAGGAGTAGCTCTATGGAGTTTATCCTCAACATACAAGCCCTGCTCTATCACATACATACAACAACCACAAAACTAAACACCTTTCGTCATGAATATTGTGCGTGCAATTCAAACAGACAGAACAAATTAGCCCAACTTCATCATAATTTCTGGCACTGCTTTAATTAATGCTCTAGCTAGTTTAATTTCCTAAACTCACCTTGTGATAATTTCCAACCGGAGAAGCAAATATTAGGAATCTATACTCTGGGGCCAGCCCCATACCAAGAACAGATCCACTTCCCATGAGCAGCGGCCTAAGAGAAAGTGTTCCTTTCCCTAGAGGCGGTACCTGTACGTGTATAAGTCCAGGTGATCAAGAAACAGATCTTAGCATTTATAAACACCCGGTGCAATCATATCAAAAACCAAGGAGTCGAATTGTAAATCCCAGAAGTGCAGGGTCCGAAGTGAAAATGTCAATAGCCAACGCTTGTTGGCTAGGACTGTTTGCTTTATAGCATCAATGAATGGTTGAGTAGAAGGAGATGGCATGCACAATCTCTCTGCACCCATCTTCATTCTTAGAGCATTAAGTTCAGGCCTAAAGAGCAGAAACTGGCCGTCTTCTGTCCTGTTCGCCTTAAGACCTTCATACAAGCCCTGATCATGGCACACCATATATTAAGAACATGTCACAGAAAAGCTAGCTAGCTAGAAACACAGCTGGATGCAACAACATACGCCAATGCTGCAACTAATACATAAAAATATAATTAGTAGGTTGTGGCTCATTGTGGTTCAAACTAATTAAAACCATAAGGGGAGCTGCTAAGTGCTAATTAACTTGTCCATAGTTCAAGATTCCAGCAGATGGGTTGAGCTCAATGTTTCCATAGGGAGTGAGATATCCTTGTGAAAAGTCATCTCCTTTGGCTTTGGAACATTTCATGGTGTGCATGTAATCAGTTGGAATTACCCCAAATTTGAGGTCATCCCAGTTGACATCAGGATACTCTTCCCCTGCATCATGGCTATACATTTTCATAGAGAAACAAAGAATTAATATCCAATACACAAAATTTAAAAAGGTCCAATAAAATGTGGTCTAGATTTAATTAATAATTAGTGAATTGCCTTTGGATAGATTTAGAAGTTGTTTGCAAATTAGCAGAAGGCATGGCTCCAAATCTTAGCCTGGAAATGAATGTTGAAAATCGTCTTGACACCCTGCTGCAAGCCTGCAACAATATAAAATGAACACTCATCATTCTTGTCATGGATTCTAGCGATATTGGTGTTTGACAGTTCTAACTTCTAATTCTAATTATATGTAGTGACTGAGACTCGGATATTAATGTTGAGAGTGTTATCTCATATCGGAAATAAAAGCCTTGCCTTAGTAGTTTAAAAGATCTTGGTTCTCTACCCACTGCCAATTGATTTTAGATTGAATATATCATCTTTCTTTCTATTCATGTGGCAAGTTCTGATTGGTTGAGGCAGATTCTCTGGGTCAATGGGCAGAGTTTTGCATGTTATTCATACATTTTTTTTTTTTTTTTTTTTTTTTTTTTTTTTTTTTTTTTTTTTTTTTTTTTTTTTTTTTTTTTTTTTTTTTTTTTTTTTTTTTTTTTTTTTTTTTTTTTTTTTTTTTTTTTTTTTTTTTTTTTTTTTTTTTTTTTTTTTTTTTTTTTTTTTTTTTTTTTTTTTTTTTTTTTTTTTTTTTTTTTTTTTTTTTTTTTTTTTTTTTTTTTTTTTTTTTTTTTTTTTTTTTTTTTTTTTTTTTTTTTTTTTTTTTTTTTTTTTTTTTTTTTTTTTTTTTTTTTTTTTTTTTTTTTTTTTTTTTTTTTTTTTTTTTTTTTTTTTTTTTTTTTTTTTTTTTTTTTTTTTTTTTTTTTTTTTTTTTTTTTTTTTTTTTTTTTTTTTTTTTTTTGGGGATTTATGACTTAAGAAATTATGTTGTTTTAAAAAAAAAAAAAAAAAAAAAAAAAAAAAAAAAAAACAGGAAAAATACCGAAGATACATAAAATTGCCCTGAGGTGCAGAGACTAAATAAATAAATGGAACCCGCTATGTAAAAAATAAAACTCTCACATGCGCCGTACTAGTATTTAATAAACAATATAAATAAATAAGTAAAACATTGGTTCTTCTTTGCGTCCCATTGTATTTCTCAAACAAATAAAAATGTTTACTTGGGGCAATCTGAGTCCAGTTCTAGGGGCCTGGGTGCTAAACAATGACATCCAAAGCCTTGTAAGTTATGTTCTGTTTTTTTATTTTTTATTTTATTTATGGGTTACATTGGTGAGAATAACCATGGCACCTAGACTATTGCTTGTATTAAAATGAAAATCAAAATTTTATTTGATATCTTTGGATTTCATGTGAAGTTCTAAAGAACAAAATGAAAGCAACTGTGGTTGTTCTGTATTTTTCTTGATTAATTATTCCATTTCATCAATTGTATTATTCATTCTTGTGCGTTTGTGTTTTACCTATATATGAATGTATTAGGTTCTCATTGTTTCCACGTTCGAGCAAGAACAAGAAGGAAAGAGAGAGATCATTCTTGGATAATGGAAGCATCTTACTAGAGGATACCATTGCTTCTTGTGATGGAAAATCTAATCCTATTCGCTCTTACTCAGCTGCTGAGCTCGTCAGGGCTACCAACAACTTCGATCTTTCTCGCATCATATACAAGATGATGGAGACTGCCAAATGTTCAAGGGTGTTCTAGACAATCGAACAATTATCATTAGGAAGTACATTATCCGTAAGAATGACAAGGACAATGATGAAGTTAGGTCGCGTGCTATTCGTGATATTAAGATATCAATGCAGATGAGCTCCCATAAGAATGCTTTTAAATTATTAGGTTGCTGCTTAGAGTTCCCTCTACTAGCTCTGGTGCATGAAAATGCAGCAAAAGGAGTTCTCAGGGATGATGGAAGTTTAAGCGGGGCTAATGGAGGTCATCCTTGTTACCATGGAAAACTAGATTGCGTATTGCGAAGCAGCTTGCTAATGCACTTACATATCTCCATACCACCTTTTCTAGACCCATCTTTCATAGGAATCTGAGATCCACCTGCATTTTGTTGGATGATGACTATGTTCCCAAACTCTCCAACTTTTCATTCTCCATAAGTGCGCAATCCCATGTCAAAGGCGATAACAAAATAAGGGCATCTGGGTACACTGACCCCGACTACCTTGCAACTGGTTGCTTTATGAAAAAAACTGATGTTATAGCTTTGGTGTGCTTTTACTTGTACTCCTGACGCAAAGAGCTGCATATACAATCAGGCAGGAGGACTGGACATTACTGCAAATCCGAAATTTCATGTTTCTGATGGCCAGACTCAAATTCAGACAATTGTGGATCCTACATTTGTTATGCCGTATCAACTTATCTGTAGGGTGTAGGAACATTAATGGCTCCATGTGTGATCAATTTATTCATTCTTTGTGCTTGTGTTTGATGACCTATACGTATAAATACGTATCAGGCTCTCATTGATTCCATGATTCACAGAGGAGGAAAGAGCGAGATCATTCATGCTATTCGAGGATCCCATCAGGCCATGCATCTTCTTATAGTATCAGCAAATTACTATTTTCCTTGGCATTATGCATCTTCTCAATTTGGTCTTGTCCTCAAAGTGCGTTGAGCTTGCACTCATAGAGAATGAGAGTAAAGAGCTAAACTGCTGCTTGAACACGAAATCTATAGTAGAGTGGGAGGAGATATCAACATATACTGTTTTCTTGGTGCTAGACAGAGAGATTTGAAGTCGAAAAAATGTCATGTCTTATTCTTAAGTTTTTATTTTTTTATTTTTATTTTTTTTTTTTTTTTTTTTTTTTTTTTTTTTTTTTTTTTTTTTTTTTTTTTTTTTCTGTGTTAGGTGTGTTGTGATTTTGTCACAATGACCCAAGTTGCTTGTATTTTTAATAGGCTTCCTTTTTGGTTGTGTTTGATCATGAAGGGGGAGGAAATGGTATTTTGGCATGTACTTAGAGCAACTCCACCCATTTGCCCTTAGCCATGGCAAGGGGGGGAGCTAGGGCAGCCACTATTCACGTGAATAGTGGTTGCCCTTGCAAAATCAGAATTTTGTGTTTCCACCCATTGCCCTAGCTAAGGGCAGTTACTATTCATTTTTTTGTTTTATTCACAATTTTTTTTACCTCAATAATTAATTTGGATAATATTTTCGGATAAGATTTACGGGTTTCTACGTGTCAACACTATTCATAATCGGATAAAATTTCGGGATAAGATTTTTGGGTTCAAATTTCGGATGAATTTCAAAATTCAAATTTCAGATAAATTTTGGGTTCAAATTTCGAATGAATTTCAAAATTCAAATTTCGGATGAATTTCAAAATTCAAAATTCAGATGAATTTGGGTTCAAATTTCGGATGAATTTCAAAATTCAAATTTCAGATAAATTTGGGTTCAAATTTCGGATGAATTTCAAATTTCAGATAAGATTTTCATCCAATCAAATCAAGCCACGTGGCATCTCTATCTTGCCAAATTTTTCTATAAAACCAGAGGCTCACATCATACCTCTCACACCACATCTTTCAATATTTTCATTTCTTAGAGTTTAGAATTCATACTCCATTCATTCTCAATGGAAGAATATAGGAGATGTTTGGAGAGGCACGAGAGAGAAAGAAAGGAGAGAAACCGTAGAGCCGATGAAATCAATGAGTTGCAGAGGCAAGTCGATGAGCAAGTTCTCATAGCAGTGGCAATGGAAGAGGAAGAGAACCAAGGTCGCCGCCGTGGTTCACAAGTCGGCCGTCGCGGAATGTGGACAGACATAGGCATTCTCGGGGTAAGAATCTTTTGGAAGATTATTTTATCCCAACTGCTTTGTACTCTGATGTTGATTTTCGAAGGCGATTTAGAATGCAACCTCATTTGTTCAATAAAGTCATGCATGATATTTGCAATTATGATGCATACTTTGTTCAAAAGTGTGATGCTACTGGGGTTTTGGGCCTTCTTCCGGAGCAAAAGCTTACAGCTGTTATACGAATGTTGGCGTATGGAGCATCTGCTGATCAGGTGGATGAGGTTGCCCGAATGGGGAAGTCCACTACGTTGGAGGCTTTGGTAAGATTTTGTGATGCAGTTGAAAATCTGTACACTAGGGACTACCTGCGTAGACCTACTCCCAGGGACCTCCAACGGCTTCTACAAAAAGCCGAAGCTCGAGGATTTCCAGGAATGATTGGTAGCATCGACTGCATGCATTGGCAATGGAAGAATTGCCCAACTGCCTGGCAAGGTGATTACGGAAAATAGAAAAGGCACAAAAAGTATCATCCTGGAAGCCGTTGCTGGCTTCGACACATGGGTTTGGCATGCTTTCTTCGGAGTTGCCGGAGCCCAAAATGACCTCAACGTCCTGGGTCAATCTCCGGTCTTCAACGATGTTTTGAGCGGCCAAGGCCCCAATATTACCTATCAAGTCAACAATACAGTCTACCAGACGGGGTATTATCTAGCTGACGGTATCTACCCAAGGTGGACCACATTTGTCAAATCCATTCCGAATCCCCGATCCCATAAGCAAAAATTATTTGCTACCTATCAAGAAGGATACAGGAAAGATGTCGAAAGGTGTTTTGGCATCCTTCAAGCTCGATGGTTGATTGTTCGAGGTGCGGCCCGTATGTTTGATGAGGAGATCCTCCGAAGCATTATGATGACTTGCATCATCCTCCATAATATGATTGTGGAGGATGAGTACGATTATGATGCTGGAGAGGTCTATGAGCCGGATCCAATAAACACGGCGATGACCCGGATTTATGAAATGCCCATGGGGCCAAATGGAGAACCGTTTGAGCCGGAACCGTTGGTGAGGGACGATCGTATGATGACCCGGATGATAGATCGATATACAGAGATGCAATCTTCGTATATTCATGAAAGCCGTCAACTTGACTTGATAGAGCATATATGGGCGGTGAAAGGGAATGAAGATGAATGATGGAGCATAGATGCTTTGGTTATGTTTTATTTACTTATGGTTTGGTTGTGTTGTTTACTATTGCTTATGGTTGGGTTGTGTTGTTTTTTATTTATTATTGTGCCTTGTTTGTAGTTTTTGTTTTCATTTTAATTATGTTATGTTTGATGTATGGAATATGTTGAATAAAATGGTCTTTTATTGAATGCTTTGTTTATTAAATAAAGAAATCCAATACAAGTCATTAAGAATTACTACTACTAAAATAAAATACATGAAGTACACCAACTTTAATACAAAACATGAAAAATAAAAATACATAAAAGGTATGCCAACTAATTTAATGGTTTTGATCATTTAACCAATCCGTGTTGCTAGGCCCATCATCTTGGAAAAGTCTTCTTCTCATAACATCCCTCCGTTCTAGCTTCCAATATTGTTTTGTTTCGGGGGACATATGACTTGTATCCATTGCCATGGTTTCCCGATCCGTCTTCTGCTGATCTTTTTTGCGCAAATACTCCTTTTCTCGTGAATGTTCGGCTTGAATTGCCACCTCCATATCTTGGCGTTTCTGCTCCATTTCAATTCTTATGGAGTTTTGCCTTGCAATTTCCTCCAAAAACTTTGAATTAAAATTGCTTGAATTACCCGCTTTCTTTGCCTTCGCACCCTTTCGGCCAATGGGCCTCGGTTCTTTTTGGATGGGTGAGTCTTCACTCATAGGGGAATCGAGAGGTGAATCCGATGTCGTTGAATCACGGAGAGGCGTCTCGTTTAACACAACATCGGGACCCGTGGGAATAATTGTGAACCGTTTACAATATTTCACCACCTCCCAACATTCATGATGGGTGAACCTTTTTTTGCCACCCCCGGTTGCACCGAACCACATCTGTGCTTGAATGAGCTATTTAACAAAAAAATGGCAATGCAATAAATATTTAAAATATATTGGATATGCAAGTAACAAAATAAAAATAATGGAAATGCAATTAACCTTACAAATAAATTGGAAGTGCAAGAAATATGAAGAAACAATTGGAAATGCAATAAATATTAACAACATATTGAAAATGCAAGAAATATGAAGAAACAATTGGAAATGCAAGAAATATTAACAACATATTGAAAATGCAAGAAATATTAACAAAATATTGAAAATGCAATAAATATTAACAACATATATATATTAGGACATTAAACTTAATAAAACGAAAATTACAAAATACTTACCTCGTTAGTACGATTTTCCCCACTTCTATACAAGTTCATCGCTTTTGCCAAGGCATCTCTCCATTTTGCCATCTCTTTGTTGAGAAGTTTCCACCTACTCGACAATGCCATTTCCGTACGAGGCGAGTCCGGAATTTTTTCGCAAAATTCGGCATGAATTTTTTTCCACATATGGAAAAATTTCATCTCATTGCCTGACAAGGGACAATGACAAACTCGGAGCCAAGCCTCACACAAAGAAACATCTTCCATGGTGGTCCACGCCCCTCCGGTTTCAATAGAAGAAGCCATAAAAATAAAAACTAAAATTACAAGGTGAAAGAGATGAAAATGTTGAGTGAAAAGTGAAGAAAATGTTGAGTGAAGAGTGAAAAAAATGTTGTAGAAGTAGAATAAAATGTATGAGAATTGGTGTTGGGTATTTATAGGTATTTATAGGAAAAAAAATCAGAATTTTTTAGTATTTTTTAAAAAAAATTTCGATTTTTTTCATAATTTTATTGTCCA